CCCAAGACCCACAGCACCGTTAAAGATCCCTAAAAACATTTGCGAGGCTGATGTTGCTCCCAAACACTGCACAACTGTTCAACACCACAGCTGATGACCGGTTGCTGCATTCCTCTGCCAGACAGAAAATTCCATGTTGAAACGGGAGGGGGGGCCCGAGTTTCGATACATTCTCATTTGGAAAACCGACTACCGGGGATGTAGAAAGGAAATAGAAAACCCTCTACCCCCGAGAAAAAAGCCTGGTTCAAGGAGTTCTAGAGGGGGTTGGAGTGCAAAAGCTTGGGATGACACGCATGGCCGATGTAGCCGTTTTGACATCACATGCAGTTGAGAAATGACTGTTTGAGTGGTGGGCAGCTCACACGTAGGTTATGAGCCCAACGCACCAGGCCATCCTCCACCTCAGCGGGTTCGTCGCCCCTGAGTCAGCTTGAGGGAGGTTGCCTCAGCCTCATCTTTTCTCGCATGCTGTCCAGCTTCTGCAAGTCCCTGAGCGTCTGCTCGTTTTCGGTCTTCCGCTCCTCGGTTGGACCAGGCACATTCCAGCTCAGCATCTTGGTCGCCTTGGACGCTGAAGGCCGTAGCTCTGAAGCTCCACGCGCCCAACATCTGGTCACGAATGTGACTCCATGCAGCCCTTCTCGCTCAGGTAGAGCTTGCACTCAGCTTCCGACGGCTCACCAAGCTTCCTTCTCCCACTCCGAGAGCCCCGTCGCTGGCATTGCCAGAGCTTCGCCATCGGCCCTCCAGGGTCGCCTCCGACTTGGCGTCTGCCATCCGCTCTCGATCCTTGTCTGAAAACCATCCTCCACCCTTGGCCCACCCGGCCTCCCAGGAGCCTTAGGGCCCTTAACAGCCGGCCGAGCCGCCGAGTGAGCCGAGATGCCCATTTTGGGTGGAAGAGGAAGGAGATGCACAGCTTGCGGTATTGACCTTCAAGCAGGGTGATTCGGGTGGAAAAGCACCCAACGATGAATCTTCAAGGTGGCTGATGACGGACCTCCAAGGCCCTATCGGTGGGCGTCCGGGATGATGAGAGAACTGGCAAGGTGCCTACGGTACGAGCTGGAGAAGAGTCGAGGGTCAAGGAGCACATCAAGCTGGCGCACTTGCCCTACCGGCGGGCTTGTCTGGTGTGTCAACAGGCATCTGCTCGAGGGACATCGACGATGTGGAGGATAAGCGCTACTTGCTGGTTGCTGCCTACACATGGCCCCAGATCCATGTAGAGCCTGAGGCCCCACGCCACCAGAAGACAGACCAGATCCACATCCGGAACAGGAGGATCAGGATGTTTTTGGAAAGTAGAGGAAGGTGCTGACCCGGAAGCTGAGGAGCCCGTGATTGTCGATTCTTCACGATCCCACTGAAGTCAAAGAGCAAGCGCGAGGTGGCGGCGATCCAGGTGTACATCAGACTCAAGAGGGACTCGTCAACCGGCGCTGGAACGCAAGGCCGCATGGACGACCTTCAAGGAGCCCAAGCACTGCGGAGAGATGCGGAGAGGTCTTGGTGCCCAAAGGTCTTCGCCTGGAATCAGGTCTTCGAGGCGAGGCATCGTACCTCACCCCGATCCAATGTCGAAAGGGACACGCACCTGCCAACCTGGAGGCCAAGAAGATCCTCGGAGCTTTCAAGGTGGAGGGCTTCGGGAAGGACGAGAAGGGACGACCTGTTGCAGTGAGGAAAATCCACGAGATGTTTGAGGAAGTGTTTTCGTGTTCGGAGGATTTGGATGAAGGCAAGTGACCCTCAGATGATGGACGATGGAGGTGATGGAGGTGATCAAGTCGCACGGCTGAAGTACCTCCATCTTGAAGAGACTCTTCTGCAGGAAGAAGAGGCGTCACAAGCCTCGTTGAAAATGGTGACTGCGCCAAGAGAAAGAAGCGCTGAGCGGACTATGAGGAGGCCGAGAAGGTCCTTCACACGAAGATGATCTCTCCGAATGAGGTCATCATGGACAAGGAAAAGTGGGCTAGTTCGATCCGAGCGGAGATCGACGCTCTTATGATGGCGTAGAAGGCGCTGAGGCTTTCCCCGAAAGGAAGCCAGGATGCTGGGGAAGGGAGACCTGGCGGTCCCGAGGAAGGCCAGCTTCACTGTCAAAGCTCGGCCCGAAAGACGAGATTGGTGGTTTGTGGAAATGTCCACGCGAATGCCGCGGAGGGAGGCACCTGTGCCGGAGGCACGGACACTGCCATTCTTGAACGCGAACTTGCATCTCCAAGAAGAACCAGCACAGCTGGTAGCCATGAGGCAACAGGGCGGAGCCAGGTGAATTATGGCTGATCGACAAGGTGATGTACGGCTTGCGTCAAAGCCCCAGAAGCGGGTCGGATCATCGAGATCGGGAGCAGTGCATCGCGGAGCCAAACTTGTGGCGTACGATTCGACAGACGGGAACTGGTGAAGAATTGGTGGGCTTGGTGTCCATCTATGTGGACTATGTGTTGACAACCGCGGAGACGGCGCTCAGGAACGCGTTCGAGAAGCCTCCCGGACGAGCTCACCGAGGACAACCAGGTGCGATTCCTGGGCATGAACATCAAGGAGGGAGACGATGTCTTGATCCATCAGAAAGACTACGTGGAAGAGGTTCGGCAAGATCTCCGAAGACCAAGGAAATGAATGTCGGACGAGGCGGCGTTGCCTCCGGGGGACTGCGACCAAGCAGATGCCACCCCAGCTCAACGAATTGCGGGGACAAGGGAAGACCAAACCTCCTGTTCGGCATGAGTCGGCTCTGCAGCACGGCGGCGGAAAAAACCCAAATGGGTGAAGGCCTCGGGCTACATCCTCGGGTACCTACGAGAGACAAAGGAGCGGGGCATCCGGATTAGCAAGGAGGCATTGTCATTTGCATCATTTGCATCATTTGCGTCATTTGCGCCGTCCGGAGCAAGTCAGGGATGCTCGGTGGAACGGCACGGTGGTGGGATTGACGGCGCGGGTCAAGGAGCGCGTTGTGGAACTTGGGGCCGGAAAGAGAGGTGGAGAACATCGAAGTGGCGTCTATCACGACCCACACGCAGGAGGACAAGCTGGTCAAGCTGCTGGTGGTGCTGACCCAGGTTATGGCATGCCGAAGAAGAACAGCAGCCAGTGGAGGATTCCACGGACATTGCGGTCTTGATTTGCATTGTTGCGGTGGTGTCCATCGTGCTGTACAGGCTGATGGTGGAGATCGCGGGTAGGATAGGACTTTGCTCGCTGGACCTGCGAGATGAGAAGCATGACCTTGAAGGAGAAGGCCACCCAGACGGAGATGGAGAGATCAAGTAAACAGTGCACCCTCGAGCTCCACGAGGAGAACCCCGTCAGCAAGTTCGGTGAGGCGTCGTGGTGGAAGTGAGGAGACGGAAAGGGCGACGGATGAGCCGCCACTGTTGAGCGGATTGAGGAGGATGAGCTTCATCGGCGATGGCAGCAAGTGCCATGGATTAGAGAGCAGGCGCTGCAAACCATTCCCAGACCGGAATCTGAGGCGAAGGAGGTGTACCACATCACGCAGATGGGCGACAAGCTACACTGGAGGCGGAATTGCTACAACTTGCGGAACGCAACTATCCGTGGCATGCGGGTGGTGCCGTGTGGGCATTGCTGGCCGGGAGGTGATGTGCCAAAACGAAGGGGCAAGGTCGACGAAGGTGGTGCGGCCAAGATGGCCTACTTCATGGAGGCGTGAACCGAGTTGGTCGGACTTACAGTCCTTGCCGCTGCCAGATGATCGTTGAGAACCACGAGCGGATGTTGGCGGAAGGGAGATGGCCACGCGGTATGGCCTGAACAATTGAGGCTTGAGCTGATGTGAGAGGGGAATAGCGGCTGGAAAGCTGCGTTTTTGGAGCTTTTGCTCTGCACTCCCAGTGCAAAAGGGAGGAGTGCAAGTAGCCGTTTTTACATCAAATGCAGTTGAAATCCAAATCCGCGGGAAAAAGAAGAAGAATGGGATCCCCCGTTTCAACCGTTTCCCCTTAGTTTCCCTCTCCAATTGTCTCTCATGTGCCCGGGCACCATCTGGGTGCCCAGCTGGCGCAGGCCCTCGATGGCTTGGCGCCTCAGTCGCGACCGAACTGATGGAACTGTCGGAAACCGTGCAATCCGGACCGACTTCCGTCTCCTCCCCGGAGAATAAAAGTTCGGCTGGGAAAACCACTTTCATTAGGGGTGGCTCCTTTTCCGGGCCCAAGGATCGTTCAAAACTGCGTGCTCGGAACTAAGCTGCGAATTCAATGTATTTGTTCGGATTTGAGTATTGGTTCTAGAGAGCCCCCTCAACAGGCTAATAGTCTGGGCCAAGCAAGAGATGCGTAACATTAGAGTGGTTCGTATTGCCTCATTGCAATGTGGTATTGGCCAGTTTCGGGTTTGGGGAGCATATTGTTTTCGGAGTCCTTCATGGGCGGGAAGGTGCTTTCTAAGGGTTCGAGCCCTTAAATATGGCAAAAGGTACACCCAGTAGCCCCCCTTTAGCCACTCAATCTTCGCAGGGGCTGTCATGGCCTCGCCTGTGAGTGCTGTCAGCGACGCCACGCAAGCAAGCGCCACGCAGAACTGCGCTTCAAACGGTGGCACAGTTGCTCAGCAACGCTGGGAAAAGGGAACCCTTTCTGGGGATTGACCATTCATAGCTGACCAAACACGACAGGGAAACTAACGCCATGCCCAAACCAAAGGGAGTCATGCAATCCATGTCACGCTGCCATTGCCATCGCTGTCATTGTTAAATGATCCTCTCAGGCTACGCTCCAAAAAAATGGTCGCAGGTTTCGCCACTGAGACACCGGCGTGCTCTTGTCGTCCAATGCCGACTCGTACTGCCTAGCTGCCTGAGTCAGATTTGCCACAGCAAATGACACAGAACCAGGATCACAACAATGCCCCGCAATTAAAATATCCACACATGTTGTGATGAACATGATGGTGATGATGGTGATGATGGTGATGATGACGATGATGATGATGATGATGATGATGATGATGGTGGTGGGGCGGTGATGAGGGTAACGACGCTGATGATGATGATGATGATGATGATGATGATGATGATGATGATGATAGTGATGATGATGATGATGATGACGATGATGATGATCGGATGGTGATGATGATGACGATGGTGATGCTGACGATGGTGGTTGTAATGATGCTGATGATGGTGTTTGTGGTGATGATGATGATGATGGTGGTGATGATGATGACGAAAGTGATGGTGATGATGGTGGTTGTGATGATGATGACGATGATGATGATGACGGTGACGATGGGGATGCTGATGATGGTGATTGTGATGATGCTGATGATGGTGTTTGTGGTGATGATGATGATGATGGTGGTGATGCTGATGATGGTGGTTGTGATGATGATGATGACGATGGTGATGCTGACGATGGTGATGCTGATGATGGTGGGTGCGATGATGATGATGACGATGGTGATGCTGATTGTGGTGGTTCTGATGATGATGATGATGATGGTGATGATGATCATGACGATGGTGATGCTGATGTGGTTGTGATGATATGATGATGGTGGTGGTGACGATGGTGATGCTGACGATGGTGATGCTGATGATGGTGGCTGTGATGATGATGATGATGGTGGTGGTGGTGATGACGATTGTGATGCTGACGATGGTGATGCTGATGATGGTGGTTGTGATGATGATGATGATGATGATGATGATGCTGATGATGCTGATGATGCTGATGATGATGATGCTGATGACGGTGACGATGGTGATGCTGATGATGGTGGTTGTGATGATGATGATGATGATGAAGAAGCAAGCTGTTTCTTTGAAACCAGCTCTGCTACGTAGGCTGCAATGTGCGAACAAGGCTAACGCGTGCTCTAGGATCAGCAGGCAACGCAGAGGTCGCCAGGTAGCGGCGTGACTTGGTGAATGAGCATACAGTTTCGGACAAGCAACTGCGAACCAATCCAAAACGCCGGTCCCGTTAGGTTTTAGGCAAAGCGAGAAGCATGTGCAAAATCAGCGGACACTCGACTGAGGCTTATAAACTCTTCGGGCCGGGATCGCCTCTTTGGTGCGGCAGAACCATCTTCCGGAACCACAATCTATGTCACTTCCAGCGCCTTCCGGCACCATTAAAAGCTTTGCCTAATTTCCGGATGAATCCATCCCGCAGCCACAACTTCTGTCTCCTGAAAACCCCCTCCCCTCTGGACAAGGGGGAAGGGGCAGAGGGTTTTATCCATCCGACTCTAACACTATGAAAATGCTGAGAGCTCCAAATGGCCGTCCTTGGCTATGTGTGAAATTCGCGGATTCTTGAGCGCATATGCTCACACTGGGTCTGGAGACTACCATTACTCATGGAAGTCATGCAGCATGCTGCATCAGTGCGAAATGCGGAATGGCCAAGCCGAAACCAACAAGTCCGGATAAGCCGCGAGCCTCGCTTAACTGGCAGGGCGAATATGCAATTTGTCATTGGAGCATGGTCATGTCAAATGTGTCCTAAAATCCATTTTGACTTTGTTCATTGTCCTGCGCAGCTTACTCACATACTCAAACCCAAAGGGTTGGGTCAACATTCCGACTTGGGCATGTGATAAGCATAGAGAAACCCGGAGCTTGGCAGGAAGTACATTCTGCAATGACATCGGGTAGAAAAAGACCTCTGGGCTGCGCCTGGCCGATGTAGCTGCGCAGCTCGCCCAGCCAGCCGCCCACCTGCACCAGAAAAGAAACAGAACTGGCCACCTTTTGTTCCGGGAAAAATGCTGAGCCCTGGGTTCCAGCTGTAAGAAGTTGGCCCTAAAACTGAACTAGAATCCCCGCTAAGGCTCATTCGCCGTGTTTCAACCATGTTTTTTAATCCGGGGTCCCATGTCCAAGATATAGGCGTGCAATATTTGAGAATGTTTGGTTCCCGGAAAACCGGAACCCAAAACCCAATGAATTTAGCGAAAGACCCCTCCGGGGGAAACTTTTTCGGGGGTGTCCATGAGTATCTGCGCGAAAGCGAACAAAAAAGCTTTGCTTGTTCATGGGACACGATATCACGAACCCCGACCTTTCGGGATCAAACTCGTGAGACCAATTGAAACCCTGACGACCATAAGCAGCTCATCTTGGGTTGACACCGATTCTCACTTCCTGAGATGGCCCAAGCATTGCCAATTTTTGTTTTTCCACACGGTCTTCCCAAACAAGTTCCAAATTCAGGAAGCCAAAAATGTGGGTGGCCAATTGTGCTGTTGACAAGGAAACTTGGGAGCGTCGCTCAGCTGACAGAACTCTGCGAAAGAACCGCGGCGCATGGCATGCTTTGTACGCACTGGTTGGTCAGGTGTGACCGCGCTTCGCTTGAAGAAGGGCTGTTGCCACGTTGCAGGGTGCAGCCCGAGTGGTCCCACCACACTGTTGAACAATCATGTAGGGGTGGCACGCAGCCGAAAAAGGGGCATAGCTTCCAGAAAGTGGTGCAACCACGAGGGTAGATCTAGATCTGTCAACCGGGGCGCGCGGCAGATCTAGATCGATCAATGCATTCACCGGTAGCACTGCAAAAAGATACGGGTTCTAGGGTGTGTCGTCTTTGGGGTTCACGCCGCACGGAAACGACCCGCTGGGAGGGCGGGGCGCCATTCGACAAACAAACCAGCCCCCCAGGCAGGTCTTTGAGCCATTTGCGCTCGTTGCCAGAAGATGCTACTTGCCGCGTGAGAAACGCTACTTGCCACGTGAAAAACCACAACACACGGCCGCCCCAGGCACTTGCTGCACACAACACGCAAAACCAGTGTTGAAGGTGCCCGGATTGGGCAGCCGGACTCAGGGAACTCGAGGCGGACTGACAGGGGACGCCCGCTGAAATTGACAGCGCGCGCTGGGCATCCATCGATCCGCCAGGGCCGAGGGCCGCGGACAAGCCCGAGTGTCGCTCGGTGGCCCAAGGCGTGCAAACACCCAGGTGCGGCCCGGCGGCCCGGCGGCGCGGCCCGGCGGCCCGGCCCGGCCCTGACACGGGCGAGCCGACGGCCACCTGGACATCGCCTCACGCATCGCAAACTCGGCGTGCAGCGCGGCCATCTCAAGGCTGTGAGGCACACAGAAAAGCTGGCGCCTCCGCACGTGCCGGGTTCCCAAAGCTCCCGGGAAGTACACAAGGAAGAGAGCTTCAAGTGAACCATGCGCCCTTGGCGAGTCCAGAGGTGCGCGACCCAGGGCTCCGGCGCAGTGGCCGAAGCAACAGACTGCATGCTCGCAACGCTCGCAAGGGCAGCGGCGAACAGCCTCGCAGCCCCGTCCCCCAACGACTGCAACCCGTTGCGACAAAAGATGCCCAGTCAACAGCGTAGTCTTCCCCGCCCGTAGCTGCAACAGTCAAGGAAGAGAAGTTGCAGCTTACTCTCGCGTCGTTGACTCACGCTGGCAATTCACGGGGAGCACGGTCCTAGCTACAATCTTGCATGTTTGACACTTCCGCCCCCCGGCGATTCAGCACTTCACTAGTCAAAGGAAGTTTAGAAGGAACTTCCGTGTTACGGCAACTAAGTGAAAGCCAGCTCTCTGAGACAAATGACAAGAGAAGGAATAAGCCCGCGAGAAAAAATACGCGCGCGTGTGGCAGGGGAAGAAAAAGTCGCAAAAAGCGTGGCCCTGTGCGTGAATCGGCCTTTTCATTGATTATATTAGGGGTCCCAGATCCATGAAGTCTAGACCTTACCTCAATTTTACTTAAAATTATCTTATTTTGCATTTAATGTGCAAAAAGATGCAAAAAGTGCAAAACATGCAAAAAAGTGCAAAATAAGCAAAAAACTGCGGAAAAAATGCAAAACATGCAAAGAATGCAAAAAACATACAACCAAGTGCTTAAAAAGTGTAAAAAACAATGCAAAAATACTATACATGACACAAGTGCAAACAAGGACAAACACATGCAAGAACATACAACATGCACAGCAAGTATGTGTCACTCAATTTTATAATGATTATTCTTTGTTTTGTCGCATCAGTGAGTCGCAAGTCATCATGAGCGCACGTTAGCGCCAGCAACGTTGGACCATTCCAGTATTGACGTCGCTGGCGCTTAAACAAAAGGCGCCTGTGACCCTGGCGCCTTGGCTAGTCGCGAGCCGGCTCAAAAATACTCTGCCATGCTTCATGTCAAGCGCTGTCAATAACTTGTGGCAAGGACAGCGGCACGGATCACGGTCAGCACAGATCGTTACAATGGGGTCGTCAAGCACAAGGTTCGAGCAATGGGAGCAATGCATTGTCTGGCGGTTTTCGTTGATGATCATGAGCAATGCGCCACGCATGCCAGTAACAAAGGTCACAGGTTCCCGATTGACTCGCAGATCTCCGGCAACTGAACAAACGCTTCATGTCCAATCCACATAATAGTCACACCACCAATCATGCCCACACGGTCCTCGACCCTGACAGTCACATCTGTGAGAATACATTCTGCCATAGGGGTGGCGATATTCACATTCCAGTTCCGAGTCCAGCTCCGATAAATCTGACTGCTCGACCATTTCAACTTCCCGTGGCTGAGCGTCAGTCCAGTCAGGCTGAGGAAGTTCAGGCTCTCTTGTCTCCCTGATTTGACACACTGTCACACTGGCTTCTGATTCAGTGCGCACACTGTCTGACTTGCAGGAGAATCGACCACAGTCTCTGTCCGACGCTTCTTATTATCTGCAGGCGAGCCAGTTGACATGAGGCTGACAATGTCAATGGTTCACAAAATCTCTCAATCAAGCACGTTGAGTCAACTGCTACTGACAGGCTTGAGCCGCAAAACCGCATCTCAAGCCAAGCAGCATGCACACTTCTGGCCAGTGTCTTTGCGGCTCACAGCCATGACAGCATGACTGGAATGTTTGCAGCCTGAACATGGGTCATGGTTCATGTCATTCATGATGTCATGACATGTGTGCGCGCACGGCTGTTGCCATAAACTCAAATGAAGTCAGGATAATAATTTAATAGAGCGACAACTTCTTTCTTCCTCTTGTTCCATTGACAGCTGGGCCTCAAGTGAGCTTCCGCACTCACGCATCTAAACTCACTTGCGCAGCCCTGTTGCTGTTTTCCAAAGTCGCACACAGTCGATTCAAGCAGTTTGTCCATCAGTTAAAAATTGCAGCTCCGCTCTGTACTGGAGCAACACACTGCTTGTCTTATTGGCTGAAGATCAATCCAGCACGAGACCATGACGCATTGAATATGCACGAGCAACCTTGTGACAGGCACATGAACACTGAGGGCCACAATGGTGCACACAGTGCACCAAATAACACGATCTCGCGCAGCCAAAGTAATAGTTCCAGCCCTGGCAGTAAAAAACCACACCTTTTTATGCATCGATGTGCTGTAGCTCACGGGCATCCGAACAAACCAGTCACCTTCGATGAACTTGAACTTGCGATCGGCAGTTGGTAAGGGCATCTGCATCTGGTCAGCAAGCACTTCTTGAAGCACCACGGGGCGTTCACTCAAGGTGCCCTCCTGGCATGTGGCCTCCTGGTGTTCGTCATCATCAATGGCAGTGTCATTGGCCATGTTGTTTGTGCACGGCGACTCAATAATAGTAGTACCAAAACTACCAGCATCCTCACATTTCCATAGCGTCTGCCTTAGATAGTGACAGATTGCGCCCGAACCCCGCACCATCACTTTGCCTAAATTGATGACAGCAACACCTAATGCATACAATCATTATTAAGCCCAGCAGCGACATTGCGAATTTAGCAAAAGTGGGAAGCACTTGAGTCGGCGCTTTCAACTGACAGCACTTGAACCGAACCGCCACAACTTGTTTTGCCACGAGCAATTCCCGTACACAAGTGCAAGCAGGCCAATGACATGATGAGATACTTTGCACTCAGTTTGTCAAAGCAAAGCACACCAGAGGTTCTCGCTATTTCATCAAGTCGTGCGCAACTCGCAAACGAGCAAAGCATTATGCCTTCTGTCAAGACTGGATCCAGTCCTTAACCTGTAGCTCAGTCATTAAAGCGCTTGTCCTCCTCAAATGGCCTTTTGATGGCCACTCGTGGCAGAGCGCCACCACAGCACAGAACTAAGACTTCAAGACTATTATGATTACAGACGCACACACACACAAACTGATGTGCCCGCCTTTCTCCCAGTCGTAGCACCTCATGATCCAGGTTGGCTTGTCTCGGCCCCCTGGCGCTGGATGAAACTTGTAATGCCCACATTGCTTGCGGCAAGTAGTGCAGGAAACCTCAGTCCAGCTAAGCGGATCAAACACAGCAGGTTGCCGGGGTCCATGGTGGCCAGGGCGACTTGATTGTGCGCCGGCACCATCAGCCATAGCGAAATCATCGGCACTGCTGGAAGCAGCAATGACACTTGCCCCAGAACTTGGCAATGGCTCATCACTGTGCTCATTACTTGTCGATTTGCTTGGAGATTGGGTGTGGCTGGCAGGTGGCAGGTCCGCCTGCGCTCTCAGCCTGTTGCCGCCGTCCGCTTCTGGAGGAGCCGTGCTGTTGTCCTCCGCCACACTGGCTGGCCTCTCTTCTGGAGCAGCCTCGGCCTGCGCAGCAGGCCTCGCAGATTCAGGGCACGACGACACTGAGTGAGTTCTACGAACCACCCGCCGCTGCCATGGATTCGGAGTCACAGCTTCAACTTCTGCAGGGACTTCAACCAGCACGTTACCCTTTTCATGGGTCTCGCCTTCGCGA